GGGGCCGTAAAACATGACGGGGCACGAAAAGGAGGTTCAGCCCTTTGTGCTTAATGGGTTGTCGGGGAGGGAGGCGAGAGAGGCCGGGAGAGCTCGAGGTGTGAATTATTGCACCATAACTCTCGCCCCGGAGGGGCCCGGAGCGATTAATGACTGTTTTCATGGGGTTTTAAAAGACGTTTTCTCACACCGTAAAAAAAAAAAAAAAAAAAAAAAAAAAAAAGAAAAAAGGCAGAAACGGGAAGCAGCCGCTAATGGGAGAAGCGCCGGGAGGATCGGGCACCAAGCGGAGCAACTCCCTTGGTTTCGTGCCGGTTTGATCCTCTTGTCGGTGATTTTGGGGGGAATCCTGTTTGGCCTTAGAACGGTGGGGACCCACAGCCCTGTTCCTTCCCTTTGTTGAAGTGGCTCTCCCGGCAAATCAGGGACGTTCCGAGAGCTGGGAAGCAGCTCCCGCTTATTTGCACCTCGTTTCCACCAAACGATCTTCAAGCCACGTGGAAGAACACGCGCGTTTTCCCAGGCCAAGCCCCCTGCTCCTGAGCTTTGCTCCTCCCCATCGGGAAAGCAGGAAAGAGCTCGTTGCGGTTTTTTTTTTTTTGTCCAGCCTCCTCCTGTGTCCAATTCAAACCCATTCCCGTTTAATTTTAGGTATCCTGAAAGCTGAAGGAAAGCAGATATCCCGGGAATAAAACACTGCTTGAGGCACCCCCTGCCCCCCAAGTCCAGATCTGAGCTGAGTGTGCCTCGTGATACTGAAACCACTCCATAAAAATGCTATTCCAGGGATACTTTTTTATTAAAAAACAGCGAGGGTGATGCCTGGGATTGGTCAGCACAACCTGCTCCCATGTGTGCATGCAATATAATGCACTGTATTAACATCCCTGCATGGATTGCAACTCGTTAACCAGCCTGATGCCAGAAGGTGAATCCTTAAGAGCAAACACAGGGATTGGGGAATACGCAGGTACCCGAGATGGAAAATTGATTGGTAGTTTGAACCTTCACTTAAGAAAAGACTTAATGGGATGAGGAGATTAATAAAGGGGGTCTCTGTGGCGGGCTGTCACTGCTTTGAGTGGCCCAGAGGTCAATAATCACAGCAAATGGATGAGGCAGGTCGGGTATCTCAGTTAGAGACTCTTCCTGGATGTTTCTGGGCACGTTCAGGGGCTGTTACTTGGTTTTTAGACCAGGCTCTGCTTGGGGGGGGGCACAAGAGGAAGGGGCAGGAACTGATGCCCAGCAAGTTCCACCTGCACAGGAGGAAGAACTTCTTGGCTGGGCAGTGACCCAGCCCTGAACAGATTGTCCAGAGGGGGTGGAATCTCCTCCCTGGGGATATTCCAGCCCCATCCTGTGCCCTGTGCTCTGGGCTGGCCCTGCTGGAGCAGATGACCCTCTGTGGGCCCTTCCAACCTCACCCACCCTGGGATTCTGTGATGCTAATTCTGGTGGCACTAAAAGAAAGAAACCATATTTCAGTGGAGAATTTTCAGTGTCTGGTAAATGTGTGACAAGGCCTTGCTTCCTCTGTGGCTGCTTTGTGGTATTTACCCTAATGCCACCTCTGGAGAGTGAATTCCCTCTTCTCTCTCCCCTGTGATCTTTAATAAACCCTGACCATACATTAACAATCAGGTGATGCTGCAGCTCAGAACATTACAAGGCTTTCTGCTGGGCCTTTTTGTTCCTGCTGGAGTCCATTCCATGCAGTTGGAGGTTGCCAACTGGTTTTATTTTTAAGGGAGCCTGTCTGGCAAAGAAATAATTAAATATTAATAATTTCTGAATTTGAATATGCTTCTCACCAAAAAAAAAAAAAAAAAAATCAAAATCAAAAATCTTGACTTGGGTTTCAATTTGTGACTTCCCTGGTTATTTTTTAAAACCTTGGGGGTTTTTGCATAAATCTTCCCCCTTGTAAACAGCCGAAGCAAACAAAATGTAAAAACTCCTCTCCATCAAGAACAACAAAATAATTTTTTCCAGATGGCCCCTCTGATGGGAGATCAAAGTCCTCATCTCAGACTTGGGAAGTTTCCCTTCCACGCTGGTATCAGTTTTATCTGAGCACAGTTTCATCCAACGTTTGCTTTTTTTCAAGAAAGGCAATTATCTGGATGGAGCTGCAGCTCTTAAAGCTGAAGAAAACAGAAAAGAATTTGCTAAAAATAGGTTTAAAAAAAAAAAATCCGGGTAGGTAAAGGGGGGAGGGGGAGGGAGGAATCTCTCCGATTCCTTTGATTTATACAAAAATTAAACATTTCCATACACTGAAAACCACCAGGAATTGCAAAGAGGAAATGAGCAGGAAAAGAGTTGGGTTTGCATCGATGCAACTGGTTTGGGCAAAGTCCCCGTGGTGAATCTCTTGAGTTCAAACCTCAGCCAAGCCACTCGTGAGGCTACAAAATAAAGGGATAGTGGTTTTCCACATCAGGGATTGCAGTGATAGGATAAGAGGGAATGGCTTCAAATTGATGGAGAGTAGGGTTAGATGGGATATTGGGAAGGAATTGCTGGCTGGGAGGGTGGGCAGGCCCTGGCACAGGTTGGGCAGAGAAGCTGTGGCTGCCCCTGGATCCCTGGAAGTGTCCCAGGCCAGGTTGGATGGGGCTTGGAGCAACCTGGGCTGGTGGAAGGTGTCCCTGCCCATGGCAGGGGGTTGAGACTGCATCATTTTAAGGTTCCTTCCAACCCAACCCATTCCATGATTCCACAATTCTCAGCTCAGCAGTGTCACAGATTTTGTGTAACGCTTTGTGTTTCTAAAATGTGTTTCTGCATCTGTACCCATCACTCGGAATTTATTTCTGTATTTCAGGGTGTGCAAAGCAGATGTGCAAAACACCTGTTGCTTTCCTAAAGCCCAGGATTTTCCACAGGCTGAGGAATTCCTATCCTTCCCTCCTGTTCACCCACTCGATCTGCCTTCTTGCAGGACACCGGTGTCGCTCCCCACCTCTGTCTCTCACACACAGACAGAATTTCATCAAGTTTTTCTCTCTCTATTCACACCCTTGCAGAGAAACACTCCCAGTTCAGCAGTTCTGCCTCCTTGCTGCGCTGCAGGACACCTTTTTTTGGCTGAAAGGGCTGCGAGCCCACAGGCCCAAATCCTCACGAGGAACAGCTTTTCCCCTTGGAAATCCTAACCTGTTTTCCCCCCTGAGCTGTTTCCTTTCCCGCCGTTAACGTGAAATAGCGAACAAAACAAAACAAAAATAGAAAAAACAAACAAACAAACAAACAAAAAAACATTCAAATGACCAAAACTCACAGATAATATTTTAGAAAGCCCTTCGCTCTCAGGTCTCCTGGCAGAGGGTGGGGGTGATCACCGCGGGCGTTCTCTGGGCTCTGAGAGCTTTGCTTGCCAACTTTCGCCATTCCCAACAACGGCCTATAGGTCTGTTTCTGGTTGCAGACACGAGGCAGGTGCAGCCGTCCCCGCCGTGGTCCTACGACCAGTCCTACCAGTACCTGGGCTCCATCGCCGCGCCCTCGGTGCACCCGGCCACGCCGATCTCTCCGGGCAGGGCGGGCGGCATGTCCTCGCTCACTGCCGAGCTCTCCAGCCGCCTCTCCGGTGAGTACCCCCAGCCCTGCTTCCCCCACGCCACGGGGAGGGTCCCCACAGCCCCCCCAAGGGAGGTGGCTCTGCCGGTGCCGTCCCCGGTGCCACCACGGCCCGCCCGAGGTGCCCGCCCCAGGGTCTGAGGGGGGGTGTGTGAAAGGAGTAAAGAAAGGGAGAATTTTAGTAAATGAGTCACCTTGGGGTAAATGAATCGCGTTTTGATGAATTAATCACCCCTTTAATCAGTGAACTGCAGAATTATTGGGGTTGGAAAAGCCCTCCCAGCCCGTGGATCCCCCCTGTGCCCCATCCCCACCTTGTCCCCCAGCCCAGAGCACTGAGTGCCACAGCCAGGCCTGCCTTGGACACCTGCAGGGCTGGGCACTCCAAACCTCCCTGGGCAGCCCCTGGACCGCTCTTTCCAGCAGGAAATTCCTCCTCCTGGCCAACCTGAATCACAGACTGGATTGGGTTGGAAGGGACCTTAAAAGATCATCCAGTTCCAACCCCCTGCCATGGGCAGGGACACCTTCCACCAGCCCAGGTTTGGAGCTCAACACACCATTGTCAAAAAGGAAGAGAAAAGAGGAGAAAGCAGCATTTTGAAGACAGGTGGAGCTATAAAAAAAAACTGTTTGGGTTGCTGAAGAACTCCCCTTTCTGCCAAGAAACGAATGCCACAGATATTCCAGTTCTGCTTCCCTCCCTCCTTTTAAATTCAGGCCAGAGCACAGCAGGTTATGGGTGGACACACCGACTGCAGGATGGGGGGGAAGGTTGACATTTTAAGTGTTGCATGTTGGATTGGCAGGTTACATCTCCATCAGACTGTGCTGCAGAGCTTTACAAGCCGACAGAGAAAACCTGAAAGTGAAAGCCACCCCCCCCCGGTTCCATCATCCCAGCCGCCCATGTGCTGCCTCAAACCCACACATATTGACCCAATCTGTGCGTGTGCAACAGCAGGAGTTTTCTTAGAACCGATGAGAGCCATAAAATTCCAATTTGCATACAGCTTTTGCAGAAATCCCTCCTTAGGCTGCACATCTTGCTCTGGTTTGAGCTCTCAGGGCTTCTTCTGAGATCAGAGAGAGCCACTTGAACGTGCTCCAGCCTGTTTTGTTGTCGTATAGAGCCTGCTTTGAAAGACTGACGGGGAGGATGCACACCAAAAGTAAATTGTTTGTCGGGTCTGGGCGTTAATTGCATCCCAGAAACAGCTGAAAATACAGCAGGGCCATCCCAGAGCTCGTGGCACAGGAGCCCCCCACAAAGCTCATCTTTACACATCCTTTGGGGGGTGTTTCTCACAGCGCTTCCAAAGTGCTGCTTCTGTATTAAATGCCCTCCAGTATTCCTAGAAAAGTCTGCCACAAGATTTTCCCTGTTCTTGGCTGTCACACACACCTGGTGTCTGTCTAAGCAATTCCTCCTTGTCAGAACAAAGAGCAAACTGGAGGAGTTTTTCGGGCCCTCCCATCCCAAGCCTCCCAAGAGAAAGACCCAACCTGGGACGTATTAGAAATATCTTGACATTAAGTGTCATTAATCTGCTATTTGCCGGGGCAGAACAAACCCTCATCTGCAAAGTGATGTGTCCAGGTAGGAAGTTTGATTTCTTTCCCAGGAATGAGGTGTGGAAGAGTCATTTAAAGTCTGGCAGGTCTCCAGATGCCACCTTTAGCCTTGGCTGCTCCGAAGCTCCTGCTGTTCCACGCCACGTGCCGGTGTCCAGGGAAAGGAAATGCTTTCCCATTAATCTGTCGTTAAAAAATGGAGGTCAAACTCAAAAAGGAAGCAGAAGAGCTTTCCTAAGGAATTCACAGAAACTCATCAGAGGGTTGACGTGTCGCTGATGAGCTTTCAGAGCTCGGAGTGGTGAGAGCCAAGAGCTTGGTTTTTCCCTCAGCTTCTCCTCACGAGCGTTGCCTTCAGCACGTGGCTCCTCTTCTGCACACTCCACGCCTTGCCTGACAGTAGAACTCGTCTTCTGGAAAGATTTTCTCATAATTATTGTTGTTATTATTGTCGTTGCTGTTATTTTAATCACAGAGATTAGGGACTGACACCTTCCATTCAGCTGAGTCACGATGGAGATCCTTCCCAAAGGGGTCATTATCTGCTCTGCTTGTTTAATCCGTGCACACCAGGGGAAGATTTGAAGGGACTGGACGTAATTCCAAGCATGTCAGACAAAGTGGAGCAGGATTTGACTGTCCTATGAATGAGGGGACATAGTCTCGAGCTGTGCCAGGGGAGGCTCAGGTTGGCCAGGAGGAGGAATTTGTGGCTGGAAAGGGTGGTCAGGCCTTGGCAGGGGCTGCCCAGGGAGGTTTGGAGTGCCCAGCCCTGCAGGTGTCCAAGGCAGGCCTGGCCGTGGCACTCAGTGCTCTGGGCTGGGGGACAAGGTGGGGACGGGGCATGGGGGTGGATTTAGACGATCCCACAGGGCTTTTCCCACCTCAGGGATCCTGGGATTCTGGGACCCTTTAACCGACTCGCCTGTCCGGCTCTCCCTCCCCGCCCCAGGTGCTTCGGACCTGACCGCCTTCAGCGACCCCCGGGTGGGCATCGACCGCTCCTTCCCGGCGCTGCCGTCCATCTCGGACCCGCGGATGCACTACCCGGGGGCCTTCACCTACACACCCACCCCGGTCAGCTCGGGCATCGGCATCGGCATGTCGGCCATGTCCACGGCCACCAGATACCACACGTACCTCCCGCCGCCCTACCCCGGCTCCTCGCAGGCGCAGGGCGGCCCCTTCCAGGCCGGCTCCCCTTCCTACCACCTGTACTACGGCACCTCCGCCGGCTCCTACCAGTTCTCCATGATCTCCGGCGGCGAGCGCTCCCCGCCGCGCATCCACCCGCCCTGCACCAACGCCTCCACGGGCTCCACGCTTCTCAACCCCAACCTGCCCAACCAGAGCGACGTGGTGGAGGCCGAGGGCAGCCACAGCAACTCCCCCACCAACATGGCCAGCACGGCGCGGCTGGAGGAGGCCGTCTGGAGGCCCTACTGATGGCGAGGAGCCCCCCCTCCCCATCCATCCATCCCCGGGCAGGACTGCCGCGTTTCCCCCCCGGTGCCGCCCGCCAGCGGTTTGAGGAGCAAAGCCCTCCAGGAGCTGTGGCACGGCCCAGCCAGGCCCTGGAGGAGCACCAGAACATCCCTCCCCGGCCTCCAACGGAGGGCTGAGATTCTGGGAAGGAGGACGCCCGAGCTGGTGGTCCAGAGGTAGCGAGGGCGGGTTAGGAAGGTTCGTCTCCAGGCCTTGTGGCTTTCCTGGGCTTATGAAGGTCCTCTTAAAAAAAAAAAAAAAAAAAAAAAAAGAGAGAGTTTCGGTTCGCTTCTATTTTTAAGACTTAAAAAAAAACCTAAAGA